CAACATGAGTGCTATTCAGATTGCTGCTAATCCGATATATCATGAGCGTACGAAGCATATCGAAGTGGATTGTCATTCCATCAGAGAGGCTGTCGACTCTCGTATTATTTCTCTTCTGCATATCTCTACAGACCTTCAGATCACTGATGTATTCACTAAAGCAATGACTCGTCAACACCATCTCTTTTTGTGAGCAAATTGATGCTTCTTGATCACCCAGCATCAATTTGAGGGGGGATGTCAATTAGTCAGCAATTTAGATTAGATACCATATATGACAATTGTCTAGATGGTAGGAATGAATTGTGATGGCTGAATCCCAGCCTTGTAATTAGGGAAATTAGCCCTATTTATATAGACAAACTCTCAGAATGAGGGAATCGCGTTAGATAAAATTGAATACCTTTGTCATTGATGACGAATCAAGTCAACCGGTTCTCATGTGGCCTCAAATTCGTGATATTCTTTCCACTGAGTTAACACTTCCCACTTGTATAGAAGGATTCTGTTTGATCCTAAGTGTCGCCTTTGGCTCCAACTGAAACAGCTCAGAAGATGTCAGCTGTGAAGGCAGGTAAGAGGCAGTGTGAATTGTGCCGATGGCTCTCTAGAATTGTGACACATGAAAAACTGGATGTACAACATCATTAGTTGGAAGTTTCAGCTTATAAGCAACCTGACCGACCCCTGTTTCAATCTCAAATGGCTCAAAGTAATGTGGAGATAGCTTAGAATGTGGCCTATTGGCCACAGATTTTTGATGATGTGGGCGGAGTTTAAGATATACCAATTCACCTACTTTAAAGTTGATCTAACAGCATTTCCCGTCTGCCACATGCTTCATATGTTGTTGGGCACCAGTGAGCTGCATTTTAAGTTCCTATAACACTTCATCTCTATCCTGTTCCACTAATGACATCGTCGATGTACCATTCTCAAAAGGCAAAACTGGTGGTGGAGGCAGAACATAAACAATCTGAAAAGGGATGTGTTTTATTGCTGTGTAGAAAGAAGTATTGTACCAAAACTCAGCCCATGGAAAATATTGACTCCACGAACACGGTTTGCTGGACCTAAAGTACCTTAGATATGCCTCCAAACATCTGTTGACAGCCTCAGTTTGCCCTCTGGGGGTGATATGCAGTACTGTGCTTGAGGGTCGTTTCTTGTGTCTTGAACAGTTTCGTCCAGAACTTATGAAAATTTGATCCTGGTCTGAGATGATTGACTGGGGTATGCCATGCAATTGAACAATCTCCCGAACAAACACTTCTGCCACTGAACCTGCAGTGAAGAGATGTTTGAGGCCAATTTGCTCAAACGGTCCACCACCACTAGAATGGTGTCCAGGCCTCTTTATTTCGGCAGCCCCTAGATGAAGTCCATAGAAACATTTGCCCAGATTGATTCAGGAATGGAAAGAGGCTGTAAGAGGCCATTAGGTGATAAGGCTACATACTTTCTTGGCTGGTGGCACACCCGGACATAGTCTCTAACATCCTTTTTAATCCCAGTCCAATACACGTCCTTGGCCACCAGTTTGTATGTTTTTAAGAAACCTGAATGGCCTCCAACATTGGTATCATGACATTCCTTCAACATGATCAAACCCAAGGGGAGTTTTTAGGTAGTACCACACGTCCCTTGTAGCATAAAATTTTGTCAGACAATGAGTACCCTGCTTTAACTAGTTGTCCAGGTTGCAAGTTGGTTACCATTATCCCCAACTCCTCGTCCTGAGCCACCTCCTTAAGCTCTTCCAATTGTAGCACTCGTGACATTGATAGCATCAACAAATTCAGAGACGGCTCCATTCTTGAAAGAGCATCAGCTGCTTTGTGGTCAAGACCTGGTCGATACTGAATATCGAAATCAAACCCCATCAGCTTTATCAACCAGTTTTGATGCTCAATACTAACAATGTACTATTTAAGCATGAACTTCAAACTCCTCTGGTCAGTCCTCACCACAAAGTGTCAACCCATTAGATAATGTCGCCATTTTTGGACTGCAAATACAATAGCCATCAGCTTCCTCTCGTAAACTAATTTGCTTTGAGCATTTCGGGATAAAACTTAACTAAAATAAGCGATTGGATGTTGGTTTTGCATCAGAACTGCATCCAACCTATGTCTTGAAGTGTCTATCTCTATCACGAATTCCTGAGAGAAATCTGGCAAGGCAAGAACTGGGACTTTAGTCATAGCTATCTTTAATCGGTGAAAGGCTGCCTCAACATTTGCATTCCAATAGAATCCCTCACATTTCAATAATTCTGTCAAAGTTCAGGCCAGCTTAGCATATCCCTGCACAAACTTCTTGTAATAGCCTGTGAGCCCAAAAAACCCTCGCGAATCCTGAATAGTGCAAGGCATCAGCCATTACAACATTGCCTTAACCTTGGTTTGGTCAGCCGCCACCTCTTTTCCTAAAATCACGTGGCCTAAGTATTCCAGTTGGTGTCTCCTAAACATGCATTTTTCTCATTAGCATACAATTTATGTTCCTGTAAGCACCTTAAGACTGTCTCCAGATGGTTCCTGTGTTTTTCCACTGATCCACTGTAAACCAAAATGTCATAAAAGAATACAAGCACAAACTTCCAGAAAGATGGTTTGAATACCTCATTCATTAAACCTTGAAAAGTTATGGGGCGTTAGTCAAACCAAACGGCATGACTAGGAATTCACAGTGATCTGCATGCATGCGAAAAGCTGTCTTAGGAATGTTTTCCACCCTCATTCTGATATGATGATAACCCGACTTTAGTTCCAACTTGGAAAAAATCTGAGCTCTTTATAACTCGTGCAATAGCTCATCGATAATAGGGATCGAAAATCGATCAGGCATTGTAATTTTATTGAGAGCTCAATAGTTTACACAGAATCGCCAACTGCCGTCTTTCTTTTTAATGAGCAACATAGGCCTTGAGAATGGGCTTGAACTAGGTTGAATGATCCCAGCTGTAAGCATGTTTTGAACCATTCTTTCAATTTTATTCTTCTGAAAATGAGGGTAATGGTAGGGCCAAACATTCATCGGCGCTGCTCCAGGTTGCAGCATAATGGCATGCTCTCGGTTACGAGTCAGTGGCAATTCATTGGGCTGCTTAAACACTCTCGGTAACGGTGTAATACTTCCACGACTGCAGAAAGGGTTGACTCTAATCCTGCTACCTCTTCCATCCCCATGTATCGCAATTCTAATAGCATCCCTTGCTCACCATCTTTGAATGCCTTAATCATAGCTTTCAAGAAAAGTTGCGATTTGATCAAGCTAGAATCACCCTTCAGCAAGATCGTTTCCCCATCCACCTTAAACCTCATGGTCAACTCCCTTCCAGTTCACTTGCATCTTTCCCAAGCTACCTAACCACTTCATGCCCAATATTATGTGTGTGCAATCTAATGTCAACGGGAGGAAATCATCAACCACATCAATGCTTGGCTAGGATACCACGACCCCTTTATACTCTCCCTCCTCGAACAGACATACTAGTTCCCATGAGAACACTGTAGTTGGACGTTCTTGTAGTGGCCAGTACCAGCCGAGTCGCTAACTCTTTCGAAATAAAATTGTGAGTTGCCCCACAATCGATGAGAACCACTACCGCGTGTCCCATCACAGTCCCTTTTAGCTTCATTGTCTTTGGAGTGGTGAACCCTATCATTGAGTTAATCGATAATTCCACAAGGTCACCCACGTCTGTTTCTTGCTCCACTTCGCCTTCGATCTCCTGCACTTCTCCTTCATCACCGTCCTGCATTACCAATACTTGGAGCTCTTTATCACGGTTCTATGACTCGGCCCAAATTTCTCTTCATCTTGTAACACAACCCCTTCTCTCTCCTCCGTTGAAGCTCATCGTCAGACAACCTCTTAAATGACAGCGCGCTTCTCAAAGCTTGCATCAGACGAACCACTGTAATGGGTGTCATGACCTTGGGTGCATAAGGGCTCAAGACATTTGAGGTATGTGGACTGTGCGTAAGATTATAAGGATCTATTTGTGAGTTGTAGATATATGGGCTGGGAATACCCATCTTACCTCTATTTGGGCCGTGGTGCTTGCCTCAACAATTCATTGCAGTCCTCGACTCTTTGGCCCAAAGCCATGATGTGGCCCCACGAGGTTTCAACATCCTCACTTCTAGGGGTGGGCGCGGGTCGGTTCGGTTCTAAAGAGAACCGAACCGAACCGAACCAAAAATTTTGGGTATCTAGTAAATGGAACCGTCGGGTCCAAATATAATAATGGAACCGTTCGGGTTCGGTTCTGTTCGGTTCAGTTCACTTCGGTTCGGTTCCGTTCGATTCTGTACTATAATTAAATTTTTTAACATTTATAACAACATTATATAAATACAACTAATGATACATTCAATGGTTTTGGAATGTCAGAGACTGGTAAACTACCTTGTTCAAATGATCGCTACGATCAAAACTTCGATCGGCGGAGGTCACAGTTTCGACTGGAGGTCACAGTGTCGGTCGACGATTGTATAGGTTTTAGAATATTAGTGAGGCTGCGAGAGTAAGTAGAGAGTTGAGACAACATTATGCATTTTAGTGTAAGTGTTTAGGGTTATTTAGTGGATTTGATCTTGTTTGGTTAAGAAATGAAACAATAAAATGGGTAATTGGGCAAAAAATTAAAAAATTAGAAAAGAAATGAAACAAATTATTGGGCCAAAAATTTGGATTTAGAAATCGTTAATTTGTTAATTTGTTTAGAAAAAATTAAAATTAAAATAATTTGATTTACTCAATATAAAAAAAAATTAGAAAGATTCGGTTCTTCGGTTCTTAATCTGGAACCGAGAATCGAACCGTACCCATTAGTTCTCAATTCAGATACTCGTTCGGATATTTAATTTGACAAGAACCGTCGGGTTCGGTTCGATCGGTTTGGTTCAGGAGATTTGTCCAGCTCTACTCACTTCAGATCTAATTGACACATTCAACCCGTTAATGAAATTCCCCCCAGCACGTCTTGCTGGTAATGGGGTTGCCAGAACCTCGAATCTCCAACAATACTCGTTGATCGTCCCTTCTTGTTTAAGCGCCAATATTTTCTCTAAAATCGAGTCCTCCTGGGATGGCCGAAATCGTTCCAACAGGCGCCCCTTTAAATCATCCCAACTCCTGATTATCTGCCAGCTATCTTTCCATTGGAACCAAGCTAGATGCTCTCCTTCAAAGCAAATTGCCGCCACCTCTATTTTCTCCCGGTCGGACAAGAAATTGATGGTAAAATACTTCTCCGCTCTGAATACCCATCCATCTGGATCTTCTCCATTGAATGAATTTCCAGTTTTCGGGACCGATTCTCCTCCTTTCATACATCTTCTCTGCGTTCCTGATCATCTGACTTAACTCCGGTTCCATTAGTTTTGACCACCCGTCCTTCAGGGGTGAGATTAGGTGAATATAATGATTCACATGACTGGCAACAATTCTCTCAGAAGTCAACTTTTACCAGGGTGTACAAATTTTTGGGACTCGGTCAAGTTTGGTTAATTTCAGGGAGAAGGTATGAGTAGCATCGAACCTACCGTTAGGAAAATTAAGGATCTATGTGTCTTCAAAGAAAGTGGATTGATGCTGTTGGCTCTAGACAGCAGCCAAATACCATCTTACTTGATACCAGACTTTGGACCCGCTTCAAAGTGGTGTTCTTATATAGAGAATTTAATGGTATGTTTACTTGATGTCCTAATATATCATCTTGTATTTATAAAAGCCTTATTCGATGTTAATGATGATGCTAAATTTTCCCTGTCCAGGAAAAGCTTGAGGAGAATGCACAGACTACTATTTATGATGATTACAAATTTTTGACAAAAGCAGACCTTGCGAAACTGAACTTAACTAATTTAATTGGTACCAATCTTCTAAAAGCCTCCATGCACGGTTTCTTTATCGACTATCTGCTGTACCAAAAGGTATAATCTTAAATCTGCTAATGGAATTATTTTATCATTTACCCCGATATTCCGTCCCTTACCACTTGGCTCCAGCAAATAAGTTTTCTTATCCTTCAAAACTTATTAACCAGCGATTCTTCTAATTTCATTTTGACAGAAAAAATTATTGAAGTTTTGATTTTGGTACTTTGAAGGCTTATGGTATCTGAGTATTGTTCTAATAAAAGCTTTTATGACTTCAACTGCAGGCAAAAGATTTGGCAGACCTTTTGCTTATATATCTTATATGGAGAAGCGAAAACAGGAAAAATTGGAAGCTTTACGAGCCTCTCGAATTACGGTTTGCAATTTTCATAAGTATTAATAGTATTTTTTTTATTTTTTTTTTATAAAGCCATGCTATTTTTTAAGCCGGTATAGGGTTTTATTTTTCTTTAACCACTACTCTTCTGAAGTTCAGGAGACAGAATATCAATTTCTATTTTGAAGACGTTACTTAAAATAGACTAGTTTTGTTTGATACTGCATTATATTTTTGAACGTCTTTTCCTCATAGATTATATCACCATTCCATTTCTTTTAGATTTTCGATGTGTAAACATTCAATCACGAAAAATCTTCTTGCAGCTCAAGAAGAGGCTGCCAAAAGTTAACCGAAATCTGGCAGCCCGACTTCTTAAAGAAGAAGAGGCTCAAACTGAAAATAAGGAGGCTGATGGCATTGATACACAGAAAATATCTGATGTTAAGATAACAACTAAGAAAAAGAAAGGTCTCACCAGTGAAGTTCTCAAAGATGAGTGGTTCACAGAGATGTTTGAGAATAAGGTACTCCCTCAGTTTGATATTTGCCAGATGTTCTTTGTTGATTTTTGGGTTAATTTTCCTTTAGGTGATTAAAATATCCAATCATCCCCCCCTTTTTTTTTTTTTTTTTTAAATTGTTGAAGAATTAAGCAACAGTGAACAATAAAGCAGAAGCATTCAACAAACAATGGAAGAATGATTTTTACATGTATATATATGTCTAGGTGACTAATTTGTTCAGTGAGACGTTTACCTCTGAGAACGAACAGGATACATAAATATGTTGGTGGATCGTGTATATTGTATAAGAATTGCTTCACTCCATTTCCTCCGAAATCGGATGCATTTATCAAATTGTTTCTAAAATTCATTTCAGCATGGAAATTAAGGATTGCATATTGATTTCTCACACAGCACTTTGAAATTGATGAATTCTCACAAGAATATCTGGCTTTACACCCGAACATATATATATATATATATATATATATCCACAAATAAACCGTCTTTGCTCGAGGAACATTTTGAAACTGTTATGGAAGAGGACCAAATTATTAGTGGGTCTGATGTGAGTGAATCATCAGAAGCTGAGGATGCCAGTGACAACAAATCCAGTGGGAAAATTACGAGTTCCAAGGTAAACTCTCCCCTACTTATCTTTTACTCCCTTTTAAGTAGACCCATTGTGTTATTCTTGACCTTGTCATTCGTATTCTTCCAAACAAAATACAGTCATTATAGTAAATTAATTATAGACATGCTTGTTCTAATTATCTTTTTGTTTTGTATAAAATCTGAGTTAAGGGTTATATTTTTAAATTTATTTGCAGATTCTACGAAATGAAGGACGAGCGACATGCAGAAGCATTTTCGAAGGGTGTATCTCTTGCCGAGGAGATTCCTCTTCCTATGGGAGAAAGGGTGAGAAAAGAGCAGCAACGAGCTTCAAAGCATGATGTCAAGCTAGGAGGAAAAGAGTCACAAGAAATTTCTTTTAATCCTAGAAGTTCGAAAAAGTACGTGGAGGATAACAAGGATAAGGAAACACGACGTGGGAAGAGAAGAATACAATCACTGAATCTATGAGACGGATCTGGTTCCCAAGGCGGAGGGGGGTTTCGTGGGAGAGGTAGAGGAAGAGGAAGAGGGTGTCGATGAAGTTGAGCTCGTCTGGAGAAAATTCTGCTGCTCAGACCGATGTGTATGCCAACAATGCAAGGAGCCAATAAGCAAATGAATTAAGTCATTTGTACTTGTTTGTTGACACTTTGAGTTACCCGACCCTACCACTTCTCTCACATGAGGTCTGGTCCCATGTAGAGGTCATGATGTGGGTTCCGACCCCCATGTGAGAGGAGGAGGTGGACCCGAGTAAACCAAAGTGTGAACAAACAAGTATAAGTAACTTGACTCATTATTTTTCTCAATTCTTGCTGAAGAACTGAGTGTTAAAAGTAAAAATGATAGTGAATGACATTATGACAAAAACATCAATGCTCTTTTGTTGTAATTCGTTACGTATCTTTTTGTTGAAATGTAGTAAGAAAAATCATCGACGCATGTTTTGACTAAACAACAAAAGGCACCGTCAACTTACGCAATAGTAGTGGCAATGTGGCATGATTCATTGTTCACAAATTAAATGATAATGACATAAATAAGTAGATTATAATTAATAATATTTACTAACAGAGACGTGTGTGGTACTTGTCCTTATCGTTCTTTGTTTAACATATTAACTAAATCTGTCAAGTCGTGTCTAATCTAGCATATAAACATAAGGCTTGTTTAATTCATTAATAAAAATTAAATATGATTATTAAAAAAAAAGTTCTTGAAGAGTTTTACAGACTCATCTCTATCAAAAAAGGAATGTAATTGAAAAAAAAAAAAATAAATCAAAATTTAGGTAATGCATATTGGGTTGTGCAATTTATTTAGGTTACGACACCAGATTCATTACTAATAACAAAATAGATACATAATATATGATAATAAGTAATGCTATTTGTTGTTGCTTATTGTCATAGTTGTCCACGTGACATCAAATTATTAATCATCGCATGTATGTCATGTAAGACGATTGCTGTAGTGAGAGACTGCAAATAATATTATTCTATGATAAATTATATGTCCATTCAGAATCAAGAAGTAAAGCACATTACGTAATCCCTTAAATTGCTTATTGTGGCACGGATATGCTCTGAAAATAAAGGTGATTGAAACCATTTTTTTTTTTAATTGGTTCAGGACCTACTATTTTATTGTATTTTATTTAATTTGTCAAACTTCATGTTCGTTCCAAGAAAGAAAAATAGATATAAATTATGTATTTTTGATAATAATAATAATAATAATAATAATAATAATATTATTATTATTATTTTTATTTTTTCACGGATAATAGCAGTAGAACCAAAAATGGATATCAGCTGCGTTCATATTCGCGTGTGGATTTGACCTTTGATAATATAAACATTAATACAATAAGATGAACGATTAGTCATAACTGATAGGGACTAGACATAATCCGCAGAGATGATAGTGAAAGTAAGTGAAACGATTTTTCAAATGCAAAGGTTGCTTAAATATTTCTACCAATTAGCTTATGGTTAAGTATATAATAATAGAAAATTATTTAGAAATTTATAATTTAATCGTCTAGTTTGGAAGCTGTTTTTTGTTATTTTATATGGCCAAAATTACTTTTTATTTTATTTTATTTTTTTCCTGCTTTGAGTATTGAATTACACCAAATTTTATTTTGGACAATACTATTTTCAAGAATACACAATTCTACAATAAAAGTTATTGAATATTATTAGTTTCTTTGTTTAAGAACTTAAATAATTTCCAATATTGGTGATTTTCAAGAAAAGTATTGAAGAAATTAATAGTTAAACATCATTTCTAGATTTGAGATAAATGAAATGAGAAAATATATTGTTTGAGCTAATCTCTCTCTCTAAATGACAAAATCCCACCATAGCTTGTTTAGGATGAGAATGACACAATAACCAAACTAAAAAATTTGGAGAGAGAAACATGTGAAGAATATTGAATATGAGAAAGGATATACGGATAAAAGAATTAGAATTTTCTTTTAAACTTGAGACATGATAACCAAACGAAAAATTTTGAAGAGAGAAATATATGAAGAATATTGAAAGAAAAAATGGACATATGGAAGAAAGAAAAAAAAAATTAGGATTTTCATTTGAGCAATGTTATTCGTAGTCGTTCACTGCGGTAGTCGCCCTACGTGACATACACATGACAGGTGATTATTAGATGCATTAATGTGTTAGTTTTTTTATTCATTAATGTATCAAATAACCACGTATCATGTGTATGCCACGTAGGGCGACTGCCGCAGTGAGCGACTGCAAATAACATTATTCTTTTCATTTAAACTCGAGTTTTTTTGGAATTAAAGTTGGCAACGAGAAAGCTCAATTGCCGAGAATGCTGAGTTGATTGAAGAGTGAAAACATCTATTATATTTGGAAATGTTTCTTTACGTAGATGAAGGGAAAATAATTTTGATTACATCTTATTTAGGATGAGAATGACACAATAACCAAACTAAAAAATTTGGAGAGAGAAACATGTGAAGAATATTGAATATGAGAAAGGATATATGGATAAAAGAATTAGAATTTTCTTTTAAACTCGAGACTCGATGACCAAGCGAAAAAAATTGAAGAGAGAAAGATATGAATAATGTTGAAAGAAAAAATGGACATATGGAAGAAAGAAAAAAAAATAGGATTTTCATTTGAGTAATGCTATTCGTAGTCGCTCATCGCGGTAGTCGTCCTACGTGGCATACACATGGTAGGTGATTATTAAATGCATTAATGTGTTAGTTTTTTTATTCATTAATGAATCAAATGACCACATACCATGTGCATGCCACGTAGGGCGACTGCCGCAGTGAGCGACTGCAAATAACATTATTATTTTCATTTAAACTCGAGTTTTTTTGGAATTAAAGTTGGCAACGAGAAAGCTCAATTGCCGAGAATGCTAAGTTGATTGAAGAGTGAAAACATCTATTATATTTGGAAATGTTTCTTTACGTAGATGAAGGGAAAATAATTTTGATTACATCTTAATTTATGATTGTTTCTCTATCTTAATTTTTAAAAATAGCAAAAAATAAATCCATTCAAACATACCAAATTCAACCAAACTTTTAATCCAAGTGGTTCAACCGCTTTCTTATTCTTTTATTTTAAATTTCTTTCTTTTCTATTGCTTGTTGTTACACAAGTAATTTGCAAATTAAATCCCAGTTTGGTATAAATAAAAATAAGAATTTTATTAGATTCTAAAAAAAGTTGATAATTGCATAGTTGAAAAATTGTGGATTTGATTTTGATTTGCAATTTTAATATAATTTTAATCTAAACCAAGCATGGACTAAATAATATGGTTCTTTTCAAAATTCTAAGTACCTTTCACGACTTTTAAGCCCATATTTGACAACCATTAAAAAGAAGATTTTGGGAAAATGAGTCTTGGAATAGTACTTTTTTGAAGAATGTGTGATTAAAAAACAGAAAAATATTTTTAGTTTACGTACAAATATTTTATTATGAGAATGTGTAGTTGAAAATGGTTTGAGAAAAGAAAGTTTTATTTTAATGGTTTTTAAACATGAGCTAAATTGAAAAGGAAATCATGAAGGTCAAGAAATTTTTTTAAAACTCTAGTAAATATAACAAAATTAATTTATAATTCAATCATGCTATTTTTACACCTTCCTTTACACTTTGCCACGAGACAACATAGCATTGGACAGCCTAGAAAAATAAATTTTTTTCCCACTAATCCTTTTTTAACAACACATCAAATGTTGGAGTGCACATCTATCATTTTTGTTTATAATTAGACTAACTTTCATGTTGAAATCAGCTACTTTCTTTGCATTCAAGACCTTATAGGATGCAGCTTCAACTCAAAAGATTAAAATGGCAACACAAATCTTTGAAATTGTTATTATACCAAATTTAGAATGCCAGTTAGTCAATTTTTTTTTTGAAAAGAAATGTAGCCATAAAAAAGAGAGAACAAGGGAAAAAAAAAAGAAAAAAAAAAGAAAAGGGAAAGAAGGAGGCAAGATCAACTGGGTTTGCTTGCTTAATCAATTTTAAAAGCAAATTCCAATGTGAAAAACTCGTAACTCCCAAATATATTAGAAAAGAAACAGATAAAAAAAAAATAAAAGAAAAAATAATAAATTCTAGGATACTATGTATCCACCCCACAATTGATCCTGCTTTGTCAGCTTACGCGCCTTCTCCCGGTTGTAAAGACATAAACAGAGACATAAAGAGGCCATTTATATCAGTGTTGTTTTCTGTTGAAATGCATGAAGGTGATATTCAAGCAATTTTAATATAATTTTAATCTAAACCAAGGATGGACTAAATAATATGGTTCTTTTCAAAATTCTAAGTACCTTTCACGACTTTTAAGCCCATGTTTGACAACCATTAAAAAGAAGATTTTGGGAAAATGAGTCTTGAAATAGTAATTTTTTGAAAAATGTGTGATTAAAAAATTGAAAAATATTTTTAGTTTACGTACAAAATATTTTATTATGAGAATGTGTAGTTGAAAATGATTTGAGAAAAGAAAGTTTTATTTTAATGATTGTCAAACACGAGCTAAATTGAAAAGGACATCACGAAGGTCAAGAAATTTTTTTAAAACTCTTGTAAAAATAACAAAATTAATTTATAATTCAATCATGCTATTTTTACACCTTCCTTTACATCATCCTTTACACTTTGCCACGAGACAACATAGCATTGGACAGCCTAGAAAAATAAATTTTTTTCCCTCTAATCCTTTTTTAACAACACATCAAATGTTGGAGTGCACATCTATCATTTTTGTTTATAATTAGACTAACTTTCATGTTGAAATCAGCTACTTTCTTTTCATTCAAGACCTTATAGGATGCAGCTTCAACTCAAAAGATTAAAATGGCAACACAAATCTTTGAAATTGTTATTATACAAAATTTAGAATGCCAGTTAGTCAAATTTTTTTTTGAAAAGAAATGTAGCCATAAAAAAGAAAAGAAAAAAAAAAAAAAGGAAAGAAGGAGGCAAGATCAACTGGGTTTGCTTGCTTAATCAATTTTAAAAGCAAATTCCAATGTGAAAAACTCCCAACTCCCAAATATATTAGAAAAGAAACAGATAAAAAAAAAATTAAAGAAAAAAATAAATAAATCCTAGGATACTATGTATCCACCCCACAATTGATCCTGCTTTGTCAGCTTACGCGTCTTCTCCCCGTTGTAAAGACATAAACAGAGACATAAAGAGGCCATTTATATCAGTGTTGTTTTCTGTTGAAATGCATGAAGGTGATATTCAAGAGATTTGAAGAAACTATGGCGTTTGAGGTGATGAAAAATGAAGAAAAAGGGCAGTTCAAGAATCTGATGCTGAGGAATTCTTGTTTTGGGTGGATCATAATAATGATACTGTTTACAGTAACACTCCTGGTGTTGCCACTGGTTCTGCCACCACTTCCA